AAGAGTCTAAGCAGGAAATTGTTTTAGGTACAAAAGCTGGAGAGATACGAAGGTCAGGCAATAGATTAACATGTTTGTTAGCTATATCAGGTAGAATGCGACTAGTGAAATAAAGAAATGATGTTGATGAGAAGTTCTTAGCAAACAATTCAGCTTTGTCTTTAGATGAGGTGACACCATCCATATGCAACATGGCACTGTCAGTACTCTGGTATTTTACAGCTGTTGATGGTATCAGTCTCCTTGAGAGCTACCACAGAGTTTAGGAAACCTGACTATCAGCTGGCCTCAGAACCAAAAAACTGAGTTTTAGAGCTGTACCCTCACTAGGAGGTAATAGAATGAGTTGCCTAGTCAAAGACACAAGCAAAACCCATGCATTGAGTAAAGAAGATCCAGCATTCAACATCCAAATGTTAAAATGTATTCATAATATATTGGAAGTAATATATTATGAATACATTTATGCCAGCCTTATAGATGAAGAAGGGGTGTGAGACTGGTCAACAGATAGAGTCTGTTTACGCCTTAAGTCTTTGCCTAGGAGGTCTTCTTCAAGACAGTAGCCAGATGCGGACATCAGTTTAATTGTAGCGGACATCAGTTTAATTGTAAGGAGAGCTTCATACAACTCATGCAATTTTTCTTTTCTTTTTGCTGTGTTCAGAAATAGCGAAAATTCCTGCTATTTGAAGTCATCATTAACTGTTGAAATAAAGGTAATTTTTTCCTTTCTCAACAATAAATCCAATTCTTCTTGAAAAGATAGTGAAGCTGGGCTAGCCTGATGACCTTCAGAATCACCAGAATCAGAAGTTTGTTCATCTCTGCAAAAACCGAAAAACTTTTGCAAATTTTTGAGCAAAAAGTGAAGTGTCTCTTGATAGAGTATTTGTAGGATATCTCAGTGATCAAGTTTGTCAAATTGTTAATCCATCTTTTACTTGTTCTCTTCTTGAGATTTTCATAACTCCTTTCCAATGTTGTTACTTAAAATCAAAAGTTTTTCCAGCATCCCAGTGAAAAATAATACTGTGTTCCACATGGGTTACATGTGGGACGGATTTTTCCATGTGGTACCCATATGGAAGTTTGTTATTTTAAACCCATCTAGGTAATACCGCATGGGTTACATGTAAGAACTGTATGTTATTTATTCACATAATTTTTTTTTTAATGTTAATTCACCTCCACAAGGCCTGGAAGACCACTACAGTTGAGGAGGCTACTTTATTTGTGGTTACAACCCTCTCTTAACTCTATAACTCTGAAACACAAACTATGACAAACAAGGTTGCTGCACAGAGAAACAAGTTGAGTGCGGTACTATTAGGGGCGTGGTGGGGATTAAATTCAGTACTTCTTGCTTATATATGAGAATCTTATGGAATTTATGTAGGATTTTGTTTGAAGGCTGGAAACTAAAACTTTTTGACTTGAAAATTGACAATATAATACTTTCGGAGTAAGGTTACATTCAGCTTGTTTCAAGTAATTAAGTTTTAAGTTTAAAAATAATTTTCAATTAGTTGTGAAGAATGGCTAGCAAGTATGTAAGTACCACAAACAATTTGTATCTCTCCTCTTAGAAATAGGAGTTTCCAGTGCAAATAGATGTATTATGATAATATAATAGTTGTAATAGTTTAATATTACAATGTAATATTATGTATTATAATGCTATATTATAATAGTATTTTAGCTATATTATATAATATATTTTAATAAGGTATTATAATGCTATTTACATTATTATAATGTAGCATTATAATACTCTATAATAATAGACTTGTTTTGATATTTTGATACAATATTACAATAATATTTTTTAATTTTACAATATTTATAAGTGCAATATATTTATAAGTGCCTCTGTGGCAACTAAGACATTTTATTATTCTATTTAAATATTTGATTTCTCCACCTTCCCAACTAGTATTTAAATTTGTAGAATCTCCAAAGGTTTGTCAATACTGTTCTCAATCAAACAATTGACAATATTATTTGCGCAAATTTGTTTTTAAATCTTTTCATATTTTAGAGTTTAGGTTGCTTTCTTTGGAGAAAAGTGAATTGAAATGATTTCTTACACGTGGAGAGGGTATTTAATTTTGTTACGCATCAAATTTTTTTTTAGTTTCAAATCTAGGACTAAAAAATCTAATCTAAAAAAAAAAATTTGATGCATAACAATTTTTTTGATTAAAAGAGTGCTTAGCTAAACATAAACCCTCAGTTGATGTATGTATACTCGACTGAAGCCTAAACATAAACCCTCAGTTGATGTATGTATACTTGACTGAAGCTTAAACATAAACCCTCAGTTGATGTATACTCAATTGGAGCCTATTTAACTTAAATTGGAATTGACTTTTTAAATTGACTTTGGAATTTCGTTGGAATTGATCTGGAATTAAGTACGCAGATATTTATTTTTTATCTATGATATAGCCATACACTGTGTAGCCACAGTCTATGGCTATATCATGGATAAAAAAATAAATATTAATATTATTAAATTATTGGATAAAAATTTTAATGTAATGATTGCTAAATAACAATATAATAGTAATATGCATAAAACATGCTTTGAAAAAAAAGCATAAAATTATCTTGCACCATGATCTGAACCTGCAACTGTATTTGCTTTTTTTATTGATGCCACAACACTACACTAACTTAGCGACTGAAAAAAATTTAAAATTATACATTTATTATAAATCTAATATCCTTCAGAGGTTATTTTTTGTTTTGTTTTAGTCACTGTTAACTTATACAATTATATATGGAACTAAAAGAGCGCAAAAAAAAAAGTTAAATTATAATTATTACAATTTATATTTATTAAAATGTAATAATTACCTATCTAAAAGCAGTTATTTAAAATATTAAATAATATAAAATATTATCGTATTTAAAATCACAAAAAACATTTCAAATATTTTTGTGGAGGCAGGGTTACATATTTGTTGCATAATGATGGAGGTGGGGGGGGGGGGGTTAGTAAAGTTTGACAATATGATACTAGGGGGATTAGGGGTTCAAAACTTTCAAAAATGGCATGATGTAATTTATGGGCTACCAAGTAATGTAATGCACTTTTAGTCAAAGTTACTGGAAATCTTACATTTGAGTTGTTTATTTTTGAAGTCATTTTTTCAAAAAAATCAAGTTATTGATAATAATGATTACCATGTAACTCTTTATTTGTGAAAATTTCACAAATACAATTCAATAATTTCAAATATAATTTTCAACACAATTGGTTTAAATTCTTTTCACAAATGAAGAGACTTACTTTTCAACACAATTGGTTTAAATTTTTTTCATAAATGAAGAGATTTACTTTAAAACCGTTACATTGTAATCATTGTTATCAATACATTGATTTTTTTGAAAAGTTGATTTATGCCACTTTAAAAATAAACAGTTGATTTAATAATAAATAACTAGCTTTTTAAGTTTCCCTAAAAAATTCTCAAAGCCATCAAAACTTTGGATCTGATTTACTTTCAAAAAATCAGCTTTTTGATAGTAAATCAGAATGATGGAAACTTTGGGTAGTTAAAGGGATCCTAAACCTCCAAAACATGTTGTGTTCATATTAAAGAAAATAATAATAAAAAAATAATTGGGCTAAATTTTTTTGATTAAAACAAAAGAATAAATGCATACCAAGAAAAACTGGTATTTTTATTTTATTCAAAGCTTGCCTTCTCTGTTTTGTTAAAGGCCAAAAAGTCAGCATAATATACACGACAATCTACAGGCTTTATCATTTATTTAAATGTTTTATTCCTAAGAGACATCATTGATTTTTTAGTATATTATGCTGACTTTTTGGCCTACAACAAAACAAAGGCGAGCTTCGACTAAAATAAAAAACTCAGTTTTTCTTGGTATGCATTTATTCTTTTATTTTAATCAAAAATATTTAACCCAAACATTTTTTTTATCATTTTTTTAAATATGAACACAACATGTCTCGGAAGTTAAGGATCCCTTTAACAATGAACAAATTTTTTGCTAAAAATAAAAAAGTTTTGAAGCCTTTGTGAAAGCAAACTTTTATAAAACTAAAACTAAAAATAATTTTTACCAAATTATTTTTTAAATTATTTTAACGTTATGTAAATAAAGTAATATAAATATGTCAATAGAAAATATACTGACCTCTATTAAAATAAAAATAAATTTCAATATATTTTTTTAAAATATTTTTTGTCTTTTTAAAAAATTAAAATTCATATTAAATTTTACATTTAATTTCACGTTAAATTTTTTTTGTGTGCGTGTATCAACAATATAAAAATGCGCTACATCAATGTTGCGATATAGGAAAAATTATTATCTTCAAACTATTAATTGAAACACTTTTAAGTTAATTAAGTTTGAACTATTAATTGAGACGCTTCTAAATTTAAAAATTTATTAGTTTTATGCTCTGGTTTATCCTTTATTTATTTTATCATTCGTTAAGTTCGTTTCCTCTTTTAGTATATAATGTGTTCATTTTTAATTTTCTCTTTAAATAAGTTTGATTTTTTTAATGCATCTTTTAAAACACAAGTTATCAATATGTGTCAAAAAAAAAATTGTATGCGTTGTTATATAAGATGTGCAATTGAAAGAGTCTCCTAAGAAGGAGACTCTTTCAATTGCACGCCTTATATAACAGTGATAGATCTATCTCGATAATTTCTGACTCTAAGTTTGCCGAGTTCAATAAAAGTGTTTCCATATGTTTGCCATATTAATGGCATTTTTTACAGATGGCTGCTGAAACCTCAAGTCAAGTTCACCAATCAAGAGGTCAACGACTTCATAAAACTTTAATACTTGATGTATATATAATAGTTTTTACTTTAATTTGAACCAATATAACCAAAATTAAAAAAAAAAATTTAACAAATAAAATGATTTAAAGGGTTTAAACGATGTGTTATAAATTAAGTGTTATTTGTGATTTAATTGTTTTCAGTTTCAGTAAATTCTTTTAGATAATTGCTGGTGGTCTTAGTGCACGTTACTCATCTCTTCCTACAACATTAGTCATGAATTCTGAAGGTTGGCATACTATTACAAAAACCGACTTAGAGAATTTGCCTGTGTTGCGAGCATTCTTAAATTGTCTTTCTTTTTGCTGCAATGTTATGGATGTAAGAAATCAATACTTTTTTTTTTTAATTTTTTGCAATTGTTTTACTTATAAATATTAACTTTTTAAAATTTTAAGTGCTAATTTTCATGCAATATTTTTTAGAGTTTAGTGTGCATGACAAAAGCAACACAAATTGCTAAATTAAAACTTTTTTATTTTTATTTTAAGAATTAACATTTTGTTAAAATCTTAAGTAAACTGCAATTTCTTGTGACATGCTTTGTATTTTATTTTCCCTTTTTTTTTAAATCTTCCACAAAAAATTATTGAGCTTGATTTTATAAGATCTACTATGCAACGTCTTTAACAGATATTTCTGATAAAATTTCATCAGTATTTTTTTCAATCATATAATTTATTATTTATAAAATTTCTTCCAATTGGATTTTAATATTTTGCAACTTTTTGTTTTACTTTAAACTTTAAGGATTGCAATCTTACAATCTCGTGGATTTAATTAATTAAGGATTGCAATCTTACAATCTGGTGGATTTAATTAATCAAGGATTGCAATCTTACAATCTCGTGGGATCCTGCATTATTTCAATAAAATCAAGTGTAATTGAATTGATAGGTTTGGCCTAAAGCTCTAGATATTTGGTTTAGATTTTTTAAAAATTGCTACATCAGATGGTGGCATCATATTGCTGGATGATGAAAAAGAAGAACTTCTGGATGCCATGCTAATGGAAGGCTAATCCAAACTATTACGTTTCAGCGTTATGCTATTTAACTTCGTTTGTGATTGACAAGTTTTTAGCCTTGTCTATCACAATAGCAGTTTGTGATAGACATGGCTAATTATTTTTTACTTGATGAAGTTAAATAATAATGAAAGTTAATAATGCACTGATTGAAAAATGTTATAACAAAATAAGTACCAAACCTGCCTCAATCTTATATTGAAGTATTTTTTATTTATATAACCAATACTTGCTCCTCAGCTTCAAAAAAGGCAGTAAAACCTTATGGCAAAGGTTATTTAGATTAAAGTTTAACAAATACCATTATTCTGTAAAAACAAATATAGTTTAAACTTATCTATTTACATCTGCAACAGTATCTGCTGTATCTTCTTTAGTATCTTTAGGAGCCATTCTTGATGTGCTAAATCTTTTTTTAGTCATTTTTAATTTGATTAGTCAGATAAAATATTTAAAGTTTACATAACAGTAGCAATCTTAAATTTAGTAGCCACCTAGTATTATATTTAAAATTGATTTTTAAATTCCTTAAAGTCTATTATTAAACTCAGCTAATAGAAAATAAGCATGTATAAATAGGGATTACGGGTGTTAGATTTTTCAGCTTCAAGCTGAAGCTAATTAGCTTAATCTGCCTGCAAATTTATATACATTCCCTTGTACAGAAATTATCCCCAAGAAAATTATAGTTTTGCAATTGTTAATGATTGTGTAAATAGAACTTAACAAAATGTTCAGAATTGTCCAAAGAGATATGTTGTGTAGCAAACATTACAATCGTGAAAGTAATATTTAGAAAATAAAAAAATTAGATTTCATTAATATTTCAAAAATAACATAATTTAACTATATGCTTTATTTTGTATAATGATTTATAAAGAAATTAAAATGGCAATTATCAACAATGATGACTACTACAGTAGTGGCCAATGATTTTTTGCAATGATTTTCTTACATTTGCTATATAAAACAATAAATTGTTTATGCTTTTTGTATTTTTATTTTATTTATTTTTTAATTAAAAGTTTCAAATTATATTTATTGAATTGGTTTATTTTTATTTACCACACCTACATACATATTTTGAAAATTATTAATTTTTTAGTCTGTTATCCTAAAATACTTACAAGATAAGTATAATTTACATCTTATTGTTTATGTGTATAAGAAATAGAATTCTAACAATTTCCTGCAAGATCCCGCTGGATCCCACAGGAATTTAAAAATCTAGCGCAGACCAAGTGGAATTAAAAAGTGCGCAGGATTGTAATCCCTACTTTTAACATTGTTTTTTAAAATTCGACTTTCATTAAAGTTTACTGAAATTAATAGAAATAATAAAACATGTAATCTTTCTTGTCTAAGTTTTATTTCTCTGTTCAACACAATTCACTATCAAGGCTAATTGTGTCTCTAAATGTATTTAGTGCTGCTAATTGTGTCTCTAAATGTATTCAAGTCTTTTTTTAAGATTTTTTTTAATTGTGTTTTTCAATTATTTTTAATTTTAAAAAATCAGCAACAAAAAAACTCTAAATAAAGAAATGCAAATGTCTCTTTTTGATAAACTTTTAAGAAACAATTTTTATAATTTATAATTAATAAATAATAGTATGTAAATAATAAATAAACCCATACTTATAAAATTAAACATTTTTTTATAGTGTGGAAATCATCTAGTAAATTCAAGACTGACATCTTTAATACATGATGGATTTTTAATGTCAGTACTGGCTCCTGCACTTAACCAGGTAGGATGTTTATTTTTATGGTCTAGTTTTTAATTATTCAAAAAACTGATTTTTGTAGTTTAATTTTTGTTATTATTAATCTGTTAGCTGTTTGTTATTTTTTTTTCTAAATTTAAAATTGAAATTTTCATCAAATCTTTTGTCATCAAATCTGTTGTAAATGTGTTCTCATCATCAAATCTGTTTTAAATGTGTTCTTATCATCAAATCTGTTTTAAACCAATTTTAGAAAGAGATTTGAAGGTTTCAACACAACTTTATAAATTTATACAAGATAGCTTCTTAAACTAGCCTAATAATGATTACTCTCTGATTTAACTCTTTTTTTTTTCTCTTAAAAACTAATTTTTAAGCTTTTGTTTACATAGGTGTTTATTTGTTTACATAAGTATATTTTTATTTGTTTACATATGTATATGTTGCTGTAAATGCACATTTATCTAAATATATATTTTATTTTAGTCTCCTATTGAAGCTCAGATAGCTGCTCTTGCATACTTGGATTTATCTTTACGTTTTATTTCAAGTGAATATTTAATGGAAATATTTTTAAAATTTCTACTAACAGAAGCTTATGATAACAAATCAATTATTAACTTGCTGATCAGCTGTATGACCTCTGATTCAGAAAAGGTAACTTTTTCAAAAAAAAAAATAAGTTATATATAAAAAATTTTAAAATTTTTATATATAACTAATTTTATTACAAAATAATTGATGATATATATATCATATAATCAATTATTTTGTACAATTTGCACAATTAAGTGGATCTATTTACTTAATGAAAAACACCAAAAGGTTAATAATAAAAAAATCATGGTAGTTTGCAAGTCATTCCAAAAAAAAAGTTCTGAGGTTCTAGGTTGCAAGTAGTTCTAAAATAAAGTTCTAAGATTCTAGCTTGCAAGACATTCTAAAAAAAAAGGTTCTAGGTTGTCAAATAATAGCATAGAATTTACAACCTTTAGTCTAATGTCTAGTTTGAATAAAGTTTTATTATCAAAAAATAAGTAGCAATTGAACTTGGATATTATTTTGCTGCATTTTGGTACAACTTGAATAGTTTATTTTTCGACAAAAGTGAGTTCCGTAGAAAATATTTTGACATTTTGCACAAAAGAATGATTACTTGTATCTTTTTGCTTTATTCGTATTCAGTCGGTCCAGGATTCATCAAGTATGAATGATGAGTACGCAAGACAAACTTTTTATCACATATTCCTTCTTTCTTTCAAATTCTTTTTGCCATTGGTAGATTGAGATTCCTGTAACATTGAGAACTCAAAAAAGCTGTTGTCTTTTGTTAGTTTAGAAATACATCTAGGTAAATTTCTAATTAAAAGTCAAAAAATTATTTTAATTAACATTCTTGGAAATTAAGTTTCAGAAAAATATTTGATTGTTTTTTGTTGTTTTTTTGTAATAAAAGTATTAAACATTGTTTATTTAAATTTGTTCCTTGTGGTTATATTGTAACATAATGATTTGCATTCTAGAAATCAAGCATATAAAATGCTGCTTTTCAAAACAGTGATACAAAAAAAATATTTATTTTAATACCTACTTGAGTTTAATCAGATGATTAAACTCAAGTAGGTATTAAAATAAATATTTTTACTTTCTTGAGTATGGTAGTGTTAAAGAAAAAAACAAAAAAACTCCCAGTGATCTTCGTTGTCATACTCGTGTTTTTTGGAGAACTCAATAGAGACGACATATTTTTTGGAGAACTTAATAGAGACAACCTATATTTTTTGAAGAGCTCAATAGAAACAACCTATATTTTTTAGAGAACTCAATAGAAACAACCTACATTTTTTTGGGAACTAAATAGAGACAACCTACATTTTTTGAAGGACTGCTTTTTTTTTCTGCTTTTTTTTCTTAAATTGTTTTTGTTTCTAATCATTTTTTAATCAAATAAAAAAAAAATTCATATAGCAACTTATGAACTTTAATTAAATGAAAAGTTTTTATCAACATTTAAAACAAAGTTTTAATATTATTTTAAAAACCATATTTAACTATTATTTCATATGTTTATACTATTTAACTATATCAGGGCTCAATTAAATTTTTTATAAAGTCCCAGACAAAATGTCCGGTCAAAACTTATTTTGGTCAGATAGTGTCCGATCAAATTTTTAAAATAAAATATTTACGGTTTTATGGAACTGAGGTATGCAGTCAAAATGTTTTTTACAACTTTTTGAAAAAAATGTTTATACAAAGTTAAAATATTAAATTTTTTTCTTTTCAATAATAAATAAGTTTGTTCATTTATTAAACAATCAATAGAAGTAATTTGTAAAAGCGCTTTGCGTAACTTTTATTGAATGTTTTAGAATATTTTTAAAAGTTTTAAAATAATTTATTTCAAATGCAATTAAAAACGTAACAAAAAGTAATTTCTACTTTCGTGATTTTTTAGTTTTATTTTAAAGCTAATTAATATTCTTTTTCGTAAGGAATTGTTTTGCTTACTCTTTAGTTTTTTAAATTTTTTTCATAGTTTAAGTTTAGGTTAATGTATCTTTTTTCAGCACATTTTTGAAACCTTTAAATTATCAAAACATCTAAACAGTCGTGGTCAATTTTTAAACAAAAAAATTTATTTGCGTGGTCAACACAAGTGATCGAACGCCATATCTGTCCAAACTTTTATTTGTAGAATTTAATTCCAATTGGTCTAAATGTCTGATTACTTTGTGAATTGAGAGGACAATCTGAGGTTTTAGCCCGATTGTAAATTGAGCCCTGACTATATTCAAAAAATATTTCATATATTTAAGTACGTTAACTTTTGAGTGTGTTTATTTTAAAAACTTTGAAGAAAAGAAAGAAAAAAAATCTTGATGAAATGTGGATGAAGTTGTTACATACGGCAGTTTTTAGATATGTCCTTTGTTACACGAGTATTGTTACATGTGTCAGTTGTTCGGTCATGTTTAGAATATTTAGTGTGTATTTTTTAAGTCTGTATTTTATGTTTAGACTTTATTAATTTAAAAAAAATTAAATAAAATTTTTTTTTTTTTAATTATTTTAAACTTTTTTTCAAATTGAACCAAGTGCAGGCAAAGATTATTTGGAAAAAGTAATCTTATTCAAATGTCATTAAAAGTTTGATGTTTATTACGCTATGATTCAGAAATAAGATAAACTACCATAGATCACATAAGAAAAAGGCAGTTCAACACTATTTACCAAGCTATACTTTTGTTACAAGCAATAATTTGATCCCAAAGAAGAAAAAAAAAAATATTTATAGCTTTTTAACTCATTGCAAAACTCATGTCATAACTGGACATAAGGTCATAAGTTCGTGTCATAAGGAATTTTAATCAAAGGATCAGTTTGACACTTATTTCCAATTGTTTAATCATCTTATTTGATTTACTTTTTTTTATTTATTTATAAATTATAAATAAATAATTTTTAATACCACTGTAATACCACAATTACAATAATTGTGGTATTACAGTGGTATTGAAATGTTTTTATATAAACAAATTTATTGTAATACTTTATTGTAAGTTGTATGGTACACTGTACGATAAATTTATAAAGTATATTGTATACTGGTGTTATCTTATTTGGCATTCATTAAATATTGCTTTAACATTCATTTATGCATTTGTTTTAATATTTTTCTATGTTTTTTTGTTTTAGCTTGCAATGGTTACCATACGATTGTTTCAAACTATGTTTGATTTAAATTGTGAAGATGTACTATTTGACTTGATTCTTAAGTATTTTATTACATATTTTCTGTAAGAAATAACTTGAAATTTTTTAAAATACTCATGTATGTTTTAAAAAACTCGTGTATATTTAAAAATACTCATGTATATTTTAAAATACTCATGTATATTTTAAAATACTCATGTATATTTATAAATACTCATGTATATTTATAAATACTCATGTATATTTTAAAATACTCATGTATATTTTAGCATTGCTAATATCTTGTATTTAAAGATAAAGTTATTTAAGTTCATGAAGAAGGTTGTTAATTCTTTCACCTAATTGGTGATAATTGAAATTGGTTATTGGTTTTTACTAAGTTTGTTGTTATTTCTTTTATTGATTTACACACTTTGTAATTAGCATTTTATTGCAGTTAATATTGGATCATTCCATGTAAATCAGAAGGCTCATGGCAGCCCATGTTTTTGGATTTTGCTGATTTTTATATATGTTATAGGGTTTATGAAAAATAGAAAAATCTGAAAGTTGGAACCTCCAACTCCTTTGGGTTCTTGAGATATTTGTGTTTCAATTTATGGTGACTCTTCTTGGGTTCTTGAGATATTTGTGTTTCAATTTATGGTGATTCCATTCATTTAATATTGCTATTTAAAATATGTTTAAAAAAAATGACATTTTTTTTAAACATATTTTAAATAGCAATATTAAATGAATGGAATAAAGTATCGACCTGAAATTTGGTACATAGGGAGTCTTTTAGAGTACCATAACCTCATATAAATTGAATAATAAAGGCATATTTTTGGGGGTATTTTGATGGTCAAAATTATGTCACCATGATAAATTATTTTGGGATTTTTTACAACAAAATGTAAATATCAAAGACTTTTAAAGCAAAATATAATTTTTTCCTTTTTTCATTTTTTCTAAATACAGTCTTTTATGTAAAGCTTTTATGTAAAACTGAGTCAGCATAAAATTTGTTCTAATTTATGATAAAATTAGCAATTTATTCATTTTAAGTAGTAAAGTTAATTTTAATGTCTTTTTGAGGTCAATAATAAATTATAATTTTCTAGGGTGGGCACATGGTGTGAAAACCTGCCCATAGAAATGAGGCAGGTTTTACTAGTTTTCATAAACCTTATACATATATAAAAATTAGCAAAATTTTTTCAATAAAGTCCCCAAAATGGTTTGCCGTTATTTTGTTTTTTCTGCTAATTTGACATGGAATGACCTTATTGTATCTTTTATAATCTTAGTAGTTAATAATTTCTTTGCAGTTAATATTGTATCTTTAACTTAATCCTAATATAAATTATTATTTTTTATTTCTTTTTTTGTTATTAATCTTGTTTGCCAATCATTTCTAGGTATTTACTTCCATGCAATCATATTCTGCCAAACCAAAAACGTATCATTAAAGAGATGGATTTTTATTGTAAGAGTGCCATCATGTTTTTGTACTTAATACCAGCCTCATGCATTGAAGCAAAAAAAGAAGATGAAGAAGTCAGCCCTCTGTTACCTCAAAAGAGCTCATATAGTTCTACGTTAATGGAAAATAAAACTGACAATAGCTTACAAGCCAAAAAAAAGTTTAGTGTAGATAGCAACGGTAGTCAAAATAGTTTTTTATCAAAAGATTCCTATTCTTCCTTAGGCACATTTGACTTGATGGAATATTTAGCAGACGCTAGAAAAATAATAATGGAATGTAAGAGAGCTTGTAAGTGCTGGTCTAATGCTTATGATGGAATGGATGTTATAATTGATAATTACAGTGAAAAGTCTTCTTATACCAGCAACATGGTACGAACTAAGTCAACTATTTCAACCAAAACAAATCGAAGTGCTACAAATATTTCTATAAATGGAGAAATGTGTCTTGGAGATGCTAGAGCAGAATGTATTGGTCCCTTTCTAAATGCTTTATTTGACAAACTGGAAAAGATGACGGAAAATAGTTTTCACTTAAATCTTTGTTTAACAAGTTTAGTAACACGACTGGCCTGTTATCCTCAACCATTGCTTAGATCCTTTCTACTTAATTCCAATCTTGTTATTCAACCAGGTGTTCGATCATTATCACAAGTAAGTTGTTTTGTAAGATTTTTTTGTTTTAAATTTTTTTTTAATATTTTGTTTCACTCTTTATATATGTACTTGTATATATTGCACTGCAATCTGTATGGTATCTATATATAATAAAGGAAGACGAAACGCTTGGTATACTATTAAAAATACTAAAAAAGAAGCTTTATAAATTTTTTTGGTAAGTAAAAAATTGCTCACTCTCATATAAATAAACTTATTTTATGAAAAATGGACTTTGAGGAGGATAGAGATCTCTCTGTCTCTCTCTCTATATAAATATATATATTTACAAATTTATAAATATATATATTTACAAATTTATATATATATATATATATATATATATATATATATATATATATATATATATATATATATATATATATATATATATATATATATATATATATATATATATTGTTGTTTTGATTATTTAATAATAATCAACTTTTTTTCGGTTTGAGAGTGATCAATATAAAGTGAAATAATCAGGTTAGATGAGAAAAAACAACTTTTTTACAGTACTTAAAGTTGCATGTAGTTTCAGGCACTATTTAAATCACATCTTTAAATCAAGAAAAAATGGTTTTAAAATACAATTAAAAAACTGTTACAAAATTAAAAAAAAATAATGGAATGAGTTCTGACGTCAAATAATAATAATAATAATAATAATAATAATAATAATAATAATAATAATGACAACAATAGTAGTAGTAACAATAATAATAATATGGAAAAAACATCATTTCTAATCACCAGTGTCAAATTGAGAAAGGAGGAATCAGTTTCTATGTCTGCACTTAGAAACAATCTCACATAATTTTTGGTGAGATATAGTTTACAAGATTTGAATGTTGGATTATATGTTTTACATCGCCTGAGAATTTTCCTCTTAATTATAGGAACTAAATATGTTTTTATTTTCCATACCTGCTTTGAGAGCTCAGTATCATTTTTGTGATTAGGGATGTTAAAAGATTTAACGTGATTAGCATATCTCAATTTAATTAACCCAACATCAGCAATGCTTGGTGGAATTTCAGAACTATACTAGCGATCCTAGCCTTCATTTTAGTTTCTTCAACAAGGACAGTTCTGCAGAGAGTATGTCGATTTATATTGTATGGCTGGGCAGACTATTGGCTTACAGACCAACTTTACAACAAAAACGATTTTAATAACATGGCTGAAATCCATACAAAAAGGCTTTTAGCTCTTTGAAAAATCACTGGAAGCAAGAGCCATCCATACTACAGACACCCAGAAGTAATCAATGCGCAGAGCACGCAATCAAACTAATGGAGGAAATTTATTCATCATGCAAAAATAAAGACAAATTGCACTTTCGATTCCTTCTGTGTAACAAGCAAGAGCAAGGTCAACGGTCTGAGTCATTGTTGGATTGAAAATTTATTGTATTACATGACTATGACATTTGAATACATAGCAGTACTTATGTCAAAATCAATTTTTCAATGGTGAACTTTTTTGATAAGATATGCAAATAATAGTTCATTTTGTGCGTTTTAGGTAAAAGTTCATCAAACTACAGTACAGGAGCATGAGGTTGATAAAAAGTGATAATCCTAATATATTTATATATATATATATATATATATATATATATATATATATATATATATATATAAATATATATATATATATATATATATATATATATATATATATATATATATATATATATATATATATGTGTGTATATATGTATATATATATATATGTATATATATATATGTATATATATGTATATATATATATATATATATATATATATATATATATATATATATATATATATATATATATATATATATATCAAGTCTTTCCAGGAAAGGCATGCGGTTTTTTGTCTCGTATGACCACACGCGATTATAATATTTTAGAAAACGTGAACACGGCCGTTCGCAAGTTTTATAATAATGCTGAAAAAGTTTCAAAAACATAAAAACAAAACTAACAAAATAAAAAGAGATTGAAATAGAAAAAAATAAAAACAAATTAATAATTTAAATAATTTGTGTATTGTTTTTATTTTTGTTTCTTTAGAGTTTCTTTTAGAGTTACATTCACCAACAAAATTAAATAAGTCGAAGCAAAAAAAACAAAACAGTTTGAAGTCTACAATAAAAAGAATGATTTTCCTTTTCTTAATTTTTTTTTAAGAAGATAGCAAAAATACAAATTGTAATGTGTTTATAAAATTTATTTGTATAATTTTAATGTAACAACAAGGGTTGAATTAAGCGAATGCAAAACGCAAAATCTGGAAAAATATCTAGTAATCAAAATTTTAGTTTATACAAAACCATGTTCTTTGTTTTTAAGGCGAGAATCAACTTAAATTTGTTAGCGAAAAAATAAAAAATAAAACAATAAACTTACGATTACAAAAGTAACAACACTCTAGTCACTAACTGCATTACAAAAGTAATAACACTATAATAGTGTTATTACTTTTATAACGCACTTATAACTTTCAAAATTCATTCTTTGTTCAAGCAACATTAGTATTCCCAAATTTTAATTGAATTAGAAAAATATCTAGAAGAATAAAGTGGATGTTTAAATAATATTAAAACTAAAGTAACTTATAAAAACGTGACAAACAACTTTATGAAAACGTATCATATTAAAAGTTTAAAATTATGAAAAATGTTACTAATGGACCGTAAAAACGCGCGTTAATTTTAAAATTACCAATAAAAATTTTTTATTGGTTGATTTTTAAATTAACGTGCGTTTTTTTGTAATGTTTTTCATAATGCTATACTTTTTATAAAGTAACGTTGTTTAAGCGATATGTGAAAGTTCCTGAAATTTTTAATAATATTTGAATATCCGCTTTATTTTTTCTAGATGCTTTTCTACTTTAATAAATGTTTGGAATTAATAATTTTGTTTGAACAAAGAATGAACTTTAAAAGTAATAAGTGCTTTATAATTGTAATAGCACTATTATAGTTTTATTACTTTTATAATGCAGTTAGTGACTAAAGTGTTATTACTTTTGTAGTTATAAGTTTATTGTTTTTGTTTTATTTTTTGTAACTTTCTTGCTAGCAAACTTTTAATAATTTGCTCCTTATAAACAAAGTACACAGCTTTGCATGAACTAAAATTTTAAAGACCTAATATTTTACCAGAGTTTGCAAACGCGATCGTATAATTTAACTCTTGATATAAACTTGTTGCATTATAATTATACAAATATATTTTACAAACAAATGACGATACATATTTTTTCTTTTCTCTTTAAACAAAAAAACACATAAAATATGGGAAAGTCATCCTTTTTAACAAATTTCATCTGTTATTGACTTGATGAAATTTGTTGCCGATAATAATAACAACTAAGAAAAAACAAAAATAAAAACAAGACACAAATTGTTTAAACTATTGTTATTGTTTTCTATTTAAGTTTACTTTAATTTCTTATGTAGTTATTAAATTTAAAACATTTTTTCAGTAACGCATATAATATAATTTGCGCAAATAGCCGTGATATCGTTCTCTAACTTGAAAAACGTTTTCGTGATCGTACGAGAAAAAAAAACGCACGCCTTTCCTGGGAAGGCTTGATATATATATATATTAGGGCGGGCCAATTTGTATGGAGCCAAAAAATTTGATTAGAGCTGCCCCCTAGGATGATTCTAAGGACAATTCTAAGCAACTTTGGTGAAGGAACCATAGGTCTATCTCAATTTTCTAGTCTCCCACTTTTCTAAAAATAATTTTTTCCCTATAACATCATTTTGATTCAAAATTCGATTTTTATTCATCATTATATTATCTTTTTTATATGGGGGGTTTTTGGGGTCGAGAAATTCATTTCTGATCTTTATTTTTACCTATGACCACCGCCAGAGGGCGTTTCATGCTTATTTTAACTATTTTTTGTCTATTTTCTGAGAATTAAATATAATTTTATCTGAGAAAAATTAGAAAAAGTTTTTTGGTAAAATCGATCTTTATTTTATTTTTTTCAACAGAAATTTAACCTAAAATAATAAAATAAATAAGATACTAAATAAAAAAATACTAAAAAAAAAAAAATAAATAAATAAATAAAAACCTAAAATAATAAAATAAGAACATGTGTAAAAAATTAAAAAAAAAATGAATTTAGTGGAAGAAAAGCGAAATAAGTTACTTTTGAAAGTCTTTCTTGCTTTCAAGTCTGGGGTATTTTGCACGGCTTTCTGATGTAAATCATCGCTAACAAAATATTTTTGGAATGCAAGCTTTCCCAGGAAAGGCGTGCAGTTTTTCGTCTTGTACGACCACGAAAACGTTATTCAAGTTAGAGAGCGTGATCACGGCCGTTTGCGCAAGTTATATGCGTTACTGAAAAATTGTTTTAAATTTAATAACTACATAAGAAATTAAAGTAAACTTAAATAGAAAACAATAATAATACTTTAAATAATTTGTGTGTTGTTTTTATTTTTGTTTTTTCTTAGTGGTTATTATTATCGGCAACAATTCATTAAGTCAAAGCAAAAAAAAAACAAAAAAAAACAGTTTTAGGCGTTAAAAAGGATGACTTTCCCATATTTTATGTATTTTTTCTTTTAAAGAGGAAAGAGAAAATATGTATCGTCATCTGTTTGTAAAATATATTTGTATAATTATAATGTAACAAGTTTATATCAAAAGTTAAATTATACGATCGCGATTTGCAAACTCTGGTAAAATATTAGGTCTTTAAAATTTTAGTTCATGCAAAGCTGTGTACTTTGTTTATAAGGAGCAAATTATTAAAAGTTTGCTAACGAGAAAGTTACAAAAAATAAAACAAAAACAATAAACTTATAACTACAAAAGTAATAACACTTTAGTCACTAACTGCATTATAAAAGTAATAAAACTATAATAGTGTTATTACATTTATAAAGCACTTATTACTTTTAAAGTTCATTCTTTGTTCAAACAACATTATTAATTCCAAACATTTATTAAAGTAGAAAAGC